ATTTTGTTTTGGATTCCTTGATCTTTTTTCCTGCATTTATAGGGTTTGCAGGGCTTTCTGTGTTCAAGATTGCATTGTATGTGTGAGTTTGGGGTTGTTACTATCCATTGATTTCCCTTCAGTAGATTGAACAGCATTGCTGTTGGTACCACACTCTGAAGGCAGGCCAATGGACTGTACAGCCCCCTTCTGATGGTACCTGCAAAAAAGGAACAAATGTTAGAAAAGGCATTAATTTCCCACAGCTGGTGCATGGAGTGCTTCATTTGGACTGGTAACTAGAACCCCTTCCTTGAAGTTGTTTCAACCATAACCATTTGATGTTGAGGAGGAGCTTGCATTTTGAGATGAGACCAACAGGCTATTGGTTTTCTTGTGCCTCAAAGCTGGGGTGCCCCATTGGTCATGGACAACTTGGCCTCTGATGAGGGGTGGGAGTGAAGAGGCAGTGGTGAAGTTTGTTATGGTATGGAGGTCATGGCTCAATTTTGAGAGGGAATCAGCAGGAAAGTTTCCTTCTCTATAAACATGTGAAGCTTTGAATCCTTCAAACTGAGAGCACAAAAGCCTTAGCTGGGAAATCTTCTCTTGCAAAGCCCAAGGAGAGTCATTTTCCTCTGTCAGCCATTTAACTAGAAGTGTAGAGTCTGCTTCCAAGTGAACTCTAGGGATATTATTGTCCAAACACCATTGAACTCTTATTCTGGCTGCTTCAGTTTCAGCATAGTTATTGCTACCTTCTCCCAAGGGGAAAGCCATTGCATGAATGAAATGGCCATGTTGGTCTCTAATAATGACACCCCCTCCAATCTTTCCAGGATTTGTCATAGCACTTTCATCTGAATTAATCTTGACATAGCTATTGTCTGGTTTATTCCATGTGACTTGGGTTATGGTGGTATGATGCTGAATGTTTTCAATGAAAGAATAGAGTTCCCCCCAATTGAAAGGCCATTGGATGTCAGGGAAGTTGGATCTTAGGAGTAGGTTGATGTCTGAATTGATGGAGTAGAGGACCCTAGTTAGGGAGGATATTTTGGCTCCATACTTGGCACTACATCTGTTTTTCCACAAGTTCCAACAGATGATGATGGGGAGGGTATCTAATATGAGCTTTTGCACTGAATTACAAGTCTTCAACATCCACCATTTTATCAGGAGAATTCTCAAAGGCAAGTTCTCAGTTTGAATGCCCACATGACCCCCATATTTTTTCCATATGATTCTTGCAAAGTTCCCAGAACTGAAGAGATGTTCTACTGTTTCCAGAGCATGCATAGAGCAGCATACACACCTGGTGACAGTTGGACCACTGAAGACTTGCACTCCGTCATCAGTTGGGAGTTTGTTTCTAAGAGCTCTCCACAAATAAAAGGACCACTTAAAGGTAATCTTCTTATGCCAGATCTTCCTATTTGTGAAATTAGGCGATTTTTTCTTTCTGATAAGGTTCCATGCAGAGGCACATATAAACTTACCCCTGACAGTAGGAGTCTGGATAGGTTTTTCAGGGAGGTCAGGGTTGTGAAAGATAGCTGTCTGCATGATCTCTGAGATTTTATGAAGTGGTGCAATTCCATTGAGCTTTTGGAGATCCCAATGACCTTCATTCCAGAAATAGGACACTTGTATGTTGCCAGGTCTGCCCCCTTCTGTTCTGCTGTATGCCAATGGCCCTGAACCAAGCCAATTATCCCACCAAAAATTACATTTCCCATTGTGAAGTCTCCATTGGATTACTTTTTCTGCTTCTTTCTTATTGACCATCAATCTCTTCCATGCTTGTGACTGGCCTGAGTGCGATTTCTTGGATATTGGATTTGATCTTTGACAGTACTTTGCCTTTAGGAATGAACTCCAAAGAGAATTTGCTGTTCTGAAATGCCACCATTGCTTGAGCTCCATGGTTTTGCATGAATCCTAAATAGTTCTGAAACCCACACCACCTTCATTTGGAGGGAATGATAGTTTGGACCATGATGCCCAATGATACGTGAGTTTGTCCTTATCCATTCCCCAGAAGAAGTTTGCTGTCAACCTTTCAATTTGTTTCATGACAGTCTTAGGAGGGGACACAGCTGAGAGGAGATGAATTGGTAGGGATGGAGGACATATTTGATCAAGGTTGCCCTGCCTCCATAGGATAGCATCTTGCCATGCCAGCCTTGGATTCTTCCTAGCACCTTAGAGATAAGGCCATTGAAATGCATTATTCTGATTCTGCCTGTGTACAGAGGGCATCCTAGGTATGTGAGAGGTGAGTCTTTCCTAGAGAAGCCTGTTTCCCTTTGAATTCTTCTGATAGCACTTGGCAGGGCACATGGAGCAGTCATGAAATGGCTCTTGTGTCTATTAATGAGTTGGCCAGAAGTGCTCTCATAATAATCATTTTAAGTTACTGAGTTCTAAATTAAGAATTTGTACATATTAATTGGATTTCTTAACACAAATACAGAGTTTGAACGAAAATTACTGGGCCCCTGTATATTTGTATGCATGTAGGCATGTGGGTGTATTTATATAATTTTACCTACTTAATATGATAAGATTTAACTAAGTCTGGCGTCTCAGAATTGAAAAACGAAACAGAGAATGAACAATAATTATTTTGTTTCGAAAATCTAAATCATTTAATTGATTGGAAAGTCGAGTAATATAGTCATAGGGGTCCTACTAGCATGTGCTCAGAAGAATGTTGTGTGTTCAACAACGCCTCAACATCTGGTCAAACTATCATTTTATCCTATCATATAATTACTTGATTACATCATTGAAACTAATAATGGTCATTAGAGGTGGATTGAGAATTTAATTTTTAATAAAATTCAATATTTAAGGCTTTTAGCATAGAATATTTACACCTAAAATTATGGATTCCAAATTTGATATTTGTTGAAATTTTAATAATTTCATAATAATTTATATTTATGTTTTGTGTCGAAAGTTCTAGATTCAGTTGAATTTGAACCCATTGTATGTAGGTCGAAACCGCCTCTTCCATGTGATTACTTACCTTAATATATCAAGCTGCATTAATCTTCTAAGCAATTTTGGTGGGGAATCTTAGTAGCTCGATTAGATGGATACATGAACTTTTACCTTATTGGTAAGGGTTCGATTCCCTATCTTGTAATCCCCTCATCTATTCTTCTTTTTCCTATTCCCTATAATAAAACTAAAAAAATGAAAAAAGAAAAAAGAAAAAGGTAAAGAGTTTTGGTAGTGTTATGCTTTCTGTTAGGTGAAAAAGGGTGTTTAGAGGGTAAATTTTAAAAATAGCAAGATTTACAACTGGTCGTTCAAAAATAGCCCAATTTCAAAAGTAATCGAAATTTAGCCACTTTTTATATAAAGATAAATCTGAGCGAAAACAGTGTTCAAAACCCGGAAAATACTCCAGTATATTATGTTGGAGTTCCAGCATAAGTATACTTGAACTCGAGGATATTATAGTGGAGTTCCAGAATAAGTATGTTGGAACTCCAGCATAATATGACGGAGTTCCAGCATAAGTACACTAGAACTCCAGCATAATTTACTGGAGTTCCAGCAAGTATATTGGTCCAGTATAATATACTGGAGTTTTGAGCAAAGGTGCTCCAGTCTCTAGTATATTATGCTGGAGCCAGCAAAGTATACCGGTCCAGCATAATATGCTGTAATTCATACACAAGTGCACCGAACTCCAGTATATTATGCTGGACCGGTCTCTATTGTAGCAAAATAGTGGCTATTTTTCATTGACTTGATAAACGCTGGCTATTTTTGATTGACCAGTCCGAAAACTGGCTATACCGTGCTATTTTTACGTGTTTAGAGCGTAAATAACTTGGAAAAATGACAATGTATAAGCCGCTCTAAAAATAATAGCCAAAAAACTATATATTTTTGTATATAATATACAGTATATTCTATATAAAAAATATATAAATTTTATACACTTTTTCGGTTGATGGATACAAATAATTTTGGCTGTAGGCTAAAAATGGTAAAATAGCACGGTCTAGCCAGTTTTCGAACTGGTCATTCAAAAATAGCCAGCGTTTACCAAGTCAATGAAAAATAGCCACTATTTTGCTGCAACAGAGACCGGTCCAGCATAATATACTGGAGTTCGGTGCACCTGTGTATGAACTTCCAGCATATTATGCTGGAACTCCATGGAAAGTTCCAGCATAATATACTGGAGATTCGAGCACTTGTGTATGAACTTTCACCATATTATACTGGACCGGTATACTTTGCTGGAGCTCCAGTATATTATGCTGGAGTTCTAGTGTACTTATGCTGGAACTCCATCATATTATGCAGGAGTTCCAGCATACTTATCCTGGAACTCCAGTATAATATGCTGGAGTTCAAATATACTTATGCTGGAACTCCAGCATAATATACTGGCGTATTTTCCGGGTTTTGAACAGTGTTTTCGCTCAGATTTATCTTTACATGAAAAGTGGCTAAATTTCGATTACTTTTGAAACTGGGCTATTTTTGAACGACCACTTGTAAATCTGACTATTTTTTAATTTCTCCACTAAAAATGATCTTTGCTCAAATAACTTGGAATAAGGGGAATCCTCCCATTGACTCATGAAGTGAAGAGTCAACGTTCCGTGCAAGGCAAACTTTCATTAAAAAAACAAAAAAGAAATGCTGAGCGTAAACGTTACAATATCTTTGCTATACAACGAGATGCGCTGATATTACAAAGGCTTTTTTGCTATACAATATCTTTGACCAAAATGAAGAAAGAAAGAATTAATTTCATCTTATCATGAATTCATTAACATCACATTGAAATTTATGTTTTCCACGTTAAAATTTAGCATAATTTGCACGTCGCTTGCATTAACGATTTTCCAAATTAATTTGCCATGCTATTCATCTAGTTTGTGCTATTTATTTTACCGTTGTTTTTGAGTTCTTGGGCTCGTTTTAAATTGTTCGTGAAGAAAGAGTAAAACAAAGATAAAAACAAGGTGCAAACTCTAACCCAAACGGACAGTTGCATAAAAAGTATTTGTGAAATATCTCTTTTTGCTCATGAACAGTAACACCAAGAATTTTTAAACGGGTGCAAATTTAACACCACTTATCAAAATATTAAGTACTTCTAATTGTACAAACTCACCCCCTAAAGAGTAATTAGATGGGGTTTCTTTCTGATTTATTAAATTTAACTATCCACTTAATGGCCTAACTTAGTTGCTCAACCAAGCTTGGTCATCATCATCTTCAGTAGTGTCTTATTAATTAAAGGCCAGCTCGGCGCACTAAACTTTTGTTGTGCAAGTGATCCAGAAGGGCCAGCTCGGCACTATAAGCTTATGTTGTGCGCGTAATCCAGACTCTAGAGAAGGATTGGATCACATTATGTCTTTTGTATGCAGTCTTACTTTTCATCTCTTCAGTGGCGGCTCACTGATAATTTCCTAGTAAAAAATATATAAGAAAAGATGATCAACTCAAGTCTTTCAATTTTTTTATCTGAACATTGATATTAGGGAGCAAAAATCGTCTTCATCACAAGGGATAGTAAGTCCCATATCATGATTGAATCCAAATTCTTCTTCAGCCGTTTGAAGCAAATTTTGAAATTCAGGATTTGTCAACCAAGAAATGGGAATTATATATCTGCTTCTATTTTCACCCACATATACAACAAAGTGGCCTTTTGGTACATCTTGAGGATATCCATTCTCATTCTTTCCAAAGCTTGAACACGGCCTTTTCATAATTTGTTTGAAGGCTGCAGTTTGAGTAAAGTGTTTGCTTGATTTCTTCAGAGCCATTTTGGTTCTTGATATGAGAAGAATTAAGGGGGGAAAGGTTCAATTGGGGTAGCTTAAAGTTTTGTTTTTTTTGAGTTGTGTGGGGAAGAATTGGAAGAAAGGAGAGTATTTATGGGGGAAATAAGAAAAACAAAGGCACATGGATTGTGTGGGAACAAAGGAACTAAAAAGGTTTTTTTTAGGGATTAGTCTTGTATAAGGGCATTGAGTCTCTTTTGTTCTTTCTTCCATTGGTCCTATGCCCTACTTTTGTCAACCCACCTAAAAACACTAGATTGGACCACTCCCTTCCTATAGCTAACACCCAAATCGAAGCCCCGGTGACTGGCGTCTCTTTTTAATTTTAATAAAAGGCCAGCTCGGTGTACTTAGGCTCTCTTTGTGTGTAGGATTCGGAGAAGGGATGAATCACATAGACCGTATTGTATGTAAAAGTGTTTTTGCATGTTTTTGTAGAAAGTTATTTTCATGACTTGATTCTGTAACCTTACATGAAATTAACTATCTTCTAGTTGCACTAAGGCTTTGATTGTAAAATTATATATATATAGAAGAGAGAAGAGGAGGTTGACCAAGGGCATAATATCTATTTTATATATTAGTGTATTGTTTGTTTGTATACTAGGTTCAAAAATTTGGTTGTGGGTTCTTAATAAAAGAAAAAACCAAAACTAACGTGCCCATAAGCTATTAAATTCTTTAGGTGGACCCCACTTTCCATTCAACCTTCACTATCTTCATTAAATGCATTACTTGATTGTTATTATTATTTTTTCCATAAGTACTTTTAACTAGAAAAATTATTATTTTGGTAATTTTATAATTCAAATGTTCACCTGATTAAAAATACTAAGTCACATACATTTATATATGACAATTCTATTATCTCTTTAAGAAATATTATTTTATTTATTAACTATTCCAGGTAAAGAAGATTTCATTAAAAAAAAATTAGTGATAATGTATGTAGATTTACATTCAAATGTTATTATATCATTATCAATTGATATCATTTTATACAAAGTTCTCATTAAATTGCAATTTCAACTGGAATACTTCATAAAATTTGGAAAAAAATTATTTAAGAATAAAATATAGTTTCAAGTCCACTTTTTTATTATAGAATATCAAAAATTTGTTCAAATTGTATAATAAGTATCCCCTCTCTAAAATATGAATTGAGAATATCTGAAGTAAAACTTAAGACAATTAATTTGTGAAATTCTTTTCTTTTAAAAATCGTTATATATTAGGAAGTATGAGAAGTATCGTCATACAGGATTATACTTCTCCCTCTATGATCGAAGTTAGTTGAGTACATACTCTATTCAATAAGAATTCAACATTATATAAATTTCAAAATACATAAATATACAATTAATTATTTTTAAAATAGTCTCAACAAATACTACTATTGTGATGAAAATCGTATTATACCCTATATAGTATCTCAATCTTATCAAATGAAACTAGAAGAAACTGCAATATCTCAATTTACGGTCAATTTGATTAGTATTTAGAGTGATCGAGATATTAATTTATTTATAATATTATGTCATTCAACTAGAACAAAACACAAATTTTCTTGTTAAAATTCTTAATAATTAAAAATCACGATTATTATCTCAAAGAACCAAAAAATTCCTTTTCATCAACTATTTGGGAATAATATTAATATTTTTTATTATTTAAATTTTGATTAGTACCAAAAGAGAAAAGTAATACATTAACACACTGAAAATACTAAAAGAATAAAACTGTATTTCAATTTAAAAAATGAGAAAAATACATGACGACTTATTTTTCAACTGACTTTTTAATTACTATTTAATAATAATTTAATTTAAGGATTAGTGATGCAAAATTTTTTTAAAATAAAAAAGGCCCTATGTAGAAATAATTAAAATTCTACTTGAATTATTATCTAATCACTCTATAATAAAGCATTAAACTCGACAAGTGTTTCAAAGTGATTGGTATAGTAATACGATTTTAGAAAAATTAAAATGCACATAATGCAAAAGATAAATAACAATACATGTAAGCGTGGTTTTATACGTTATTACACAAAAGCCTATTCTCTTTCTTCTTTCCCTAAAGGCGTAGAAAGTGTATAATTAACAATAGACCAAGAAATATTAAAAGGATGAAAACAAGAAGAAGAAAAAAAAAAGTAACAATTGGGCCCGTGCATCGCACGGGTACATCATCTAGTGTGTGTGTGTGTGTATATATATATATATATATATATATATATATATATATATTAGTTACTTTGTTGGAAACAACTTGAAATAAGAAAAATTATCTACAGGGGAAAGGTAGAAATGATCAACAAAAAAATCTATCCACTTTTGGTGATTCAAGTTCGTTGGATTTTATGATGTTTATTACCCTTTGAAGTGGGACTTTCTCGGTTCTTTTTCACCTCTGTTCTTATACTCCTAAATAAGGATGCGGAGAATCACAATCATACTAACCCAAGGGTATACAAATCTCACTAGTTTGACCCACATATACTAATAACCCTATGGAAAAGCAATCAATCATGCTTAGCAACAAAGCAAGTAGGCCCCCAGCTTTTCCTTCCGTACCATGGCCCCGCCAGCAAGTGTACCTTAACGCGTACACACTTTCAGTTTATAAATTTGTAGCTTCACCCCCTTCTCTCTCTGCGTCAAAACTCAACTGTAATGATCCGACCGATCGCTTTGAGCACTTATACTTTGTTCGGTTGTTAAGGGTATGAGTAACTCCAGATAAAGTATTATGACTTATTTGGATCGACGGTTTGATTTTCAGGTTATTCGAAATTCGATTTGGAAGAATGATTCTAAGCTTGAAACTTTAAATTTGAAAGGTTTGACCAAGTTTGACTTTTTAGTATTTGACCTCGGATTGGATTTCTGATGGTTCCGTTAGCTCTGTTGGGTGATTTTGGAATTAGGAGCGCGTCTGGATTGTGATTGGAGGTCCGTAGTAGAATTTGGCTTGAAATGGCAAAAGTTGGAATTTTGGAAAGTTTGACCGGGAGTGGACTTTTTGATATCGGGGTCGGATTCTGATTCCAGAAGTTGGAGCAGATCCGTAATGTCAAATGTGACTTGTGTACAAAATTAGAGGTCAATCGAACGTGATTTGATAGGTTTCGACATCGGTTGTGGAAGTTTGAAGTTTCAAGTTCATTGATTTCGAATTGAGGTGTGATTTGTCGTATCGATGTTTTTATGTGTGATTTGAGGCCTCGAGTAGGTCCGTTTGTTGTTATCAGACTTGTTGGTATGTTTGGATGTGGTCCCGAGGGGCTCGGGCGAGTTTCGGACAAGGTTCGGATCATTGTTCTTCATGTATTCATTACTGAGGAGCTGCTGGTTCTAGTGTTTTCGCACCTGCGACTGATATTCCGCAGGTGCGATGGCCGCAGATGCGAGCCAAGCATCGCAGATGCGAGTTTTCGCTGAGGGGTGGAGGTCCGCAGAAGTGAAGGTATTTGCGTAGAAGCGCGACCGCAGGTGCAGTCCTGGCCATCGCAGAAGCGATTTTCTCGCAAATGCGAGTTCTTTATCCGTAGAAGCGGAGGTCGTAGATGCGACTTTTTTACCGCAAATGCGGAAATTGCTGGGCAGAAGCTATAAAATCGAGTATTTTTTTTCTTTCTTCATATTTTGACATGTGGGATTCGGATTGAGGCGATTTTTGGAGCAAATTCATTACAAGGATTGGGGTAAGTGTTCTCTACTCAGTTTTGATTATATCTCATGAATCCATCTTCATTTGAGCAATTAGTTGATGAATTTAAAGAGGAAATTGGGGGTTTTGGCCTAAAGTTTCATAATCTGAATTTTTGAGGTTTGAACACCAATTTGGAGTCAAATTTGAGTGAAACTAGTATGGTTGGACTCGTAATTGAATGGGTTGTCGGATTTTGTGAGTTTTGTCAAGTTTCGAGGCGTGAGCCCGGGTGTGATTTTTGGCCGGATTTGGGATTTGACTTAGGATTCGATCTTTATCATTTGTAATTGCTTCCTTGGGCTTTATCTGATGTATTTGAGTTGCTTTTGGCTAGTGTTGAGCTGTTCGGAGGTCGCTGCGTGCATGATGGCAATCTTGGAGCATCGCTTGGCTTGCTCGGTGCCGGAATTGGCTTTTTTAAGATAAGTAAATCCTCTAAACTTAGTGCTGAGGGTATGAAACCTCGAATTACGTGCTATGTGATTGGTGTTGAGGTGACTCACATGCTAGGTGATGGGCATGTGGGCGTGCACCTTGTGAGTTGTGACTCTCTTGTTTCCGGGGCAATGTTTAGTGGCCCACTTTGTTGATATTTGTGTTTTTCACCATGTGATAAAGTAATATAGATGTACATCATGCTAGATATCATGTTTAGGCTTTATGCTGATATTGTTGGGACCCCTAGCGGTCGTTTCTTCTTGTCATCTCATTGATTCATTGATACTTCGTACTCAGTCACATCTATGCACTCATATCATATCTCAGTCTCAATTGTAGCTTATTGATACATCATATCATTATTCCGGGTCAGTTTTCATGACATTGTGAGCCCGTGGGTGAGACTGGAGAGATTGATGACTGAGTGAGGCCAAGAGCCTGATTATGAATGACAGTTATGGGATCGGGTTACACGCTGGAGCATGTTTTATTGATTTATGCCATGATTGGCTTGTGATAGTGCTTGGGCTGAAGGAGCCCCTCCGGGGTCTACACACCCCCAGTGAGCGCGGATGATATTATTGAGGGATAGATTTTCCTGGACATGGATTTGTCCGAAGTATTTGATATCTGGAGATGGATTTCTCTACAGGGTTGGATTGCCCTTTTTCCTCGGTACTGGGGGACTTCTAGTCAGTGATGTATATGTTCCGGAATGGATTTCCCTAGGCCGCATGGGCCAATACAATACCGAGTGGTTGAGCATTTATATATTATTGAGGGATGGATTTCCCTGGACATGGATTTGTCCGAAGTACTTGATACTTGGAGATGGATTTCTCCACAGGGTTGGACTGCCCTTTTTCCTCGGTACTAGGTGACTTATAGTCAATGT